TAGAAAGATACTTGACCAAAAATGCCAAAATAGCATTAATGACTTTTCTTGGGAAGTAAGAATATGGTTGATTTTTTGCCTTCTTCTATGTCCTCCCATCCAGACTCTAATAATACATATGCCTTATTTTATTACTTAAAAGTTTATCAAAAATAAACCACACTTTTTAACATAAAAATCCTGATCATTTATTGCATTCCAGCACTTCCATGGAATTTCTACATGTCAATAGCCTGACTCCCACATAGTCCTAGAATGCACATTACCTCTCCTCATCCAGTCAGCACAGAAAGTGCCAACTGAAATTAACTGAATAGGTAAGAAATCAAACCATTATTGGAGAAACTAATTATTTGACCCATCCAGTGAGAAAATATTGTACTTCAATAATTTTAAAAAGTATTTAACTTTCACATTTTCCTCCAAATCCATGTAAATGTGATTAGATATTGAGGAAAATGATCAGTGTTTGAGACTGATATTTTTCACATGTGGTAATTAGCCTTCTTTGCCACCTTCCCATTCAATCTACAAATAAAAATGCTGTGTCTGTTGCCAAATAACCATTTCAGCTAAAAATGTATGAAAATATTCCCCAAATTGCCACTAAATATATAAATTTTATATCTTACTTAAAAATCAATATTACTAAGTCAGTTGCTCCTTGCAGGTGTTTAATAAGATTAATGTAAAATACCTTAAATTTACAGAAGTACAAAAATAAGTGCAAAATTACTCTGCTTTGTGGTACATTAATAGGGCTTAAACACTGAACTAAGTAACAGATTTTGATGAAAAGCTCAATATAACAACCCAAAGGGAAATGTTTCTTTCTGAAAACAGATATTTTGGCAACACATATATCCATTTGCATTTATCTCTTTTGATAACTCACCTAAACCAAAATAAATTGCCTGGTAAGTAAATAAGCTTTATAGTTACCAGTCACTTTTGAAGAATCTTTTGAAATTTTACATTAAACAAACCCATTCATTGTCATACCCTTGGCAGAAAATATCTCAATGCTGAATAATAACTCAAGGCAAGTAGAATCAGAAAAGTCTTGTGTATTTTCTGTTCACTTTGAATATATCTGTGGAATATCAGAAGTGTTTTCCTTTGTTTTGTTGCTTGATCTAGCACTTAGATTTTCCGAATAATTTCTAAGATTGGGGAAAAATACATTCTGCATATTGATATCCAATTACCATCTGAATCAAGGTTTTTTAAAAAAAAAATCTTGTTCACATTACCCTAGAATTGTTTTGTAAGGTTCTATTTGCCTAATTGTGGAAATGATAATGCTGAATGGGGGACATTAATACTTAAACTCCCAATCACTTGGGACAAACTGGTAAAAATCATTGTTTCTAAAGGGAAACCAAAATTCTCTCTCTCAATTCTCCTCCCTTGATGTTCCATCTACTGTTACAGGAGAGTGAACAAAAAGAACATTTTTTTTCCTTAATTGAAAAAAGCTTAACGATATAGTAAAGCTAAGATATAGGCCAATCAGAGTCGTATTTTCAATCTGAACACAAAAGTGGTTTCAGATGGATCACTTTGGCTCTGGAAAATAAATCAATTCTTAACTTCTGCATGTTGGGACAATATTTTGAGATATTAACCAACATTTTTCCTTAAAATACTATGTGTTCTGTTGAAACCCTGCCCTGCTCTCCCTAGTCAGACAAGAGGGAGGGTGCCGTAAGCTTACAATCTTAATGGAAATAGTAAAAAATCTTTTTTTTTTTTAATTTTTCAAGATCTTAAGTCCAGGCATAGAAAATATTTGTGAAATAAAGTGAAAAATCTAACCCATTTTCTCCATCTCTGAGTCTAGATAATAGTTTTGCAGACTGCTTGGAGAAGGTAAGATACGGGAGAAGCAAGAATATTAGAAACAAGTGCGTTCCTGAGAGAAAGAAATGATTAAATAAATACCACTACCACCCTTACTACCACCAGACCCCACCACCACCACCAACAACCACCACAAACAAATTTGGGGGAATCCAAGTGCCAAAGTAACTGAGCTTCACTGCCTACTGCAGCCCACCAAGAAAGCAACAGGAAGGACTCCACAGTTGCCCCAGGGCCTGGGATGTGCCATGTATGTGATGAGATGGCCACCTTGCATCTATGCACTTTGGCAAGACCAAGGGTGAAGCAGAATAATATCCCACGAGCTTCCAGAGAACACTGTGCTTAATGGGTTTTCAGAGGACCCTCAAATGACAAAGTACCAGCAGCCTTGTGTCTGTTGTCTGTACAGTGATAGGGAAGAGCCTAGGGCTTAGAAACAAGGAATGAAGTCCCTACAGGATCAACATGCATAGGATCAGGTAACTCATGCCCACCTTCAAATCTTGGCACTTTATCGGCCCCCTTCGAAAAACTTAAGATGAAACCTCAGAGAAAAGTAGGGCACATCAGCCTGAAATTGGGTGATTAAATGTGTAGAATCTCACAGAAAGGAGGCTTAACACATAAATTAAGTTCAGATACAGAAAAATGCAATTACTGAGATTCATTGCCACTGCATGTAGAGGCTTATCTGGGGATTTCGGAGAACACCCATCCAGCACCTGAACTGCAATGCAAACTGGTAACAAATCACAGACATGAATTAAAGCCAAGTGATCTTGAGACAAAAGCCTGTGACCCTGAGAGAGAAACAGGAAAGAGACATGAAGCAGGCACTCAAAAGTCACAGCAAGTTTCTAAAATGGCAATAACATGGTGATGTCCTAACGACTGCTTTCAATGTCCTAGTAGATCCACAGATCCCAGCTGCAGAAGAAAATAGTGAACTCCTTTTAGGATTTTGGAAATGAACTTAACCTCAGACTCTGAGGCCTAAAAAGACCAAACTTCCTGTCTTTTGTGTAATCAATTAGTTTAAAATCATAAGAAAATAAAAATTCTTTAATATTTATTCCAACATAAATAAGTAATTAAATACATAAAGACGTAAAGATTTAAGTACATAAATAAATAAGTAAGGGGTGCCTGGGGGGCTCAGTTGGTTGAGCAATAGACTTTGGTACAGGTCATGATCTTGTGATCTGTGGGCTGGAGCCCCACAACAGGCTCTGTGCTGACGGCTCAGAGCCTGCGGCCTGCTTCAGATAGTGTGTCTCCCTCTCTCTCTGCCTCTCCCCTGCTTGTGCTCTGTCTCACTCACAAAAATAAATGAAGATTTTTAAAAAAATAAGGAAAACAAATAAATACGTAAAATGGGAAGTAAGTAAGTAAAAGGCCCAAAACATTTCCTAGAACAGGAAGGGCAAGTCTATTGACACCAGGTATACAGATATGGAGGCAAAAGAACCCATCACACGGAAAAGGCACACACTTAATTTGTCCTAATGTGGTTCTTGGGGCATAGGTGAGAGAGTCTTAGAGGAAGATTCTAGTTATTTTCTTTTGTTAATCTTATTTTTAAGTAATCTCTACACCCAACATGAGGCTCAAACTTACAACCTGAGGTCAAGAGTCATATGTGCTACCAACTGAGCCAGCTAGTTATTTTCCACTGGACTCCAAGAGGAAAATATTTCGAACGCAACCTATTTCGAACGCAACTGCTGAGATACGCACACACACAGACACAGACACAGAAACACACACACACACACACACACACACACCTTTTCTTTGGTTTTGATAGGGAAAAGGCTGAAGAGCTCCAAGTTGGGAAATTCAAGAAGAGAAAATTTTTCATAAACTGGAGTTGTGTTGTCCAATTGTGGCTACTGAGTGGCTAGGGAGCATTTGAAATGTGGCTACCATGATTGAGAAAGAGAAATTGTAATTTTGCCTAATTTTCACTTTAATTTAAAACCAAAGCAGTGTAGACAATTTTTCCATTCAACACAACTTCATCTGTTTGACGGGGCAACCGTTCACTTACTTTATCCCATGAAAATTTGACATCTGAATTCAGATGTGTTAGGAGTGTAAAATGCTCACTGGGATTTGAAGACGTAATAGATTCTTATTAAAAATGTGAAATGTCTGAGGTGCCTGGTGGCTCAGTCGGTTAAGTGTCCAACTCTTGACATTGGATCAGGTTGTGATCTCATGGTTCATGGGTTCGAGCCCCAGGTTGGGCTCTGTGCTAACAGAATGGAGCCTGCTTTGGATTCTCTCTCCCTCTCTCTTTCTCTGTCCCCTCTCTCTCTTTCACTCTCTCAAAAATAAATAAACTTAAAGAAAAGAATATGAAATGTCTTATCAACATTTTTTAAAGTTTATTTATTTTTGAAGGAAAAAGAGAGAGTGGGGGAGGTGCAGAGAGAGAAGAAAGAAAGAATCCCAAGCAAGCTCCACACCATCAGGGAAGAGCCCAAGGTGGAGCGTGAAATGATCAACAGCAAGATCCTGACCTGAGCAAAAATTAAGAGTTGGACGTTTAACCAACTAAGCCACTCAGGCATCCCTCTTACCAACAATTTTTATATTGATTGCATATTGAAATAATATTTTAGATATATTGAGTTAAATAGAATATGTCATTAATTACACTTGTTTCATTTTACTTTTTAAAGTGTCTATTAGAAAGTTTTAAGTTACATGTGTAGCTTACATTATATTTCTATTAGACAGTGTTGATGTGGAGTACAGCTCGAAAATATGGCAAGAAATCAGGCTCACATTTCTTCCACATCTGAGTTTTGAGGCCAACATTAATTCCTGCCATATACACACCCGTCTGTGTATCTGGCACATAACTAATGAAAACCAGAGATTTTTTTTCTCGACAAACTCCTCAAATATGTAACAGGCAAAAAAGAAAGCTAGATTAAAAGACAGACACAGAGACTGAAAGAGAAGTAAGTAGATCATATAAATTAAGATGAAATAACAACACTAGAATCATTAGGATTCGAATCCACATCTTGTAACAAGAGTGCCAGATTCAGTCAAAGTAAATTTAAAAATTGATCTAAATTGTATTTCATTTCCTCACTCTTCCATTTTCTTCTCTTTGATAGGTTTTATGGGAATCAAAGATTGTAAAGGAAAAATAAAATAAGGTGGTGGAGACAATTCAATCAAGCAACCTAGAAGGGGAATGACAAAAACCAGGCTTCTCTCTCTGACTCTCACGCTTACTATCATCACAACTTTCACGGTCTCTCTGTACTTCTGTTCTCTGATCAATAAAAATGGGACAAACCGTGGTGGATTCACCAGGCCGTTGCAAAGACAAAATGAATATGTGAGAAGGGTTCACAATCTATATATGACTATGTGATATAACCACCAATACAGTTATCGTTAACGAAGATTGACAGAGTAGAAAACCATGACAATTCAGAGCTGGCAGCATGAGGCTATAGTAGCTGCTGTCACAGTTGATTTGAAGCTCTTCCGCTTCAGACTAGTAACCGGATTTCCTCTCCTTAGATCTGGAATCTTGCCACCCTTGAATCGGACAACAGTTTTAGGGACCCCGCCTGCTTATGTCCATGGTCAGTATAGCCATGTGACATGGAAATGAAAGCTACCGAACCCTCCCTGACTCATCAGTTATTAAAATGGCTAGGTGGCAACTTGGAAAGCACTGCTCACTAGACTTCAAGCAATTTCCTTAACAGCAGAGAGGTTCTCTATTGGTGTGATCACAGAACATACAGCTAAAATCTGCCGACAATATGCGTGTGACCTAACCTCTGCCTACCACTCAGGCCCCCACACTCTGATCCAGTTGCATCCCTCCCAACACTCTCTAGAACTCACCAGCCTCTTACACCACACAGACACCTCCCTCTGGAACTAGCAATATTCATATTTTAGGTCTGCTTTTGGCACATTACCATCACCTGAGGAGCTTTTGATAGCAGGCCAATGGGAGCCTAACAGGCAGAATTCATAGTTGTTCTAGCATGTGACCTGGGACAAGGTACATGTATAAAGCCAAGCAGGTAATGCTAATAGGCAATCAAGAATAAAAATGACTGGATTAGGGGGGCCCAGATGGCTCACTCAGTTAAGTGACTGACTCTTACTTTCAGCTCAGGCCATGATCTCATGGTTCATAAGATCCACACAGGAGCTCTGTGCTGAAAGGGCAGCGCCTGCTTGGGATTCTGTCTCCCTCTCTCTCTGCTCCTCCTCTGCTCACATGCTCTCTCTCGCTCTCGCGCTCTCTCTTTCTCAAAATAAATAAACCTAAAAATTTTTTAAATGACAGGATTTAAAAAGGACACTGCTTGTTGTAAACATGTGCTGCGATCTAGCATTCCAGTATCTACGTCGTCTTCCTCTGGTAATATGATACCAAATAGAATTTAGGAAGAAGTGCTTCTCCTAAGTTCTGTGTGTTTGTAGGCAACGAGCACATTATTCCCCTGGCCATGACAACTGTTCAAACATGAGCAACAAGGACTAAAACCAACTCAAAGGCAAGGGAAGAGTTAAGGACTTGATTCTCTCATACATGATGGCGACCAGCTGCCTTATCAAACACTTTCTTTTGTAAAGTTTATATTAGAATGAAAATCATCTGTCTCTAGGGAGTAGAGGTAATAGTAGAAGCAGGGCTTGAAAGCAGTTAATTCTTAGGAATGGTGGCACAATATCTATAATGGAAGATGAGCTGCTGTACTGTGTCCACTTCAGTGGTCCGATTACCCATGAAATCAGATTCTGTGACTGCAGTTCTCCAAAGTGACATTACAGTCTCCTTGATGTTTGGTTATTCAGTTGTTATGACAGTTTCCTGACCTTCCTTATTTCCCTACACAACCTCACAATAAGCTGATTTTTGTCTCTGTTCCTTGTAACGTAAAAGGCCACATTTAGAGCCAGATTATACCACAGTTCCCCAACGGGGTCCTCTCAGACACACGTGTCACCCATTTGCTCTTGCTCTCCATTTCTTTGCTACAAAATTAGCAGAATACATCACCCATCTCCTATGTTTGTGGTTTTCAACAGAGGATTACAGGATATGTCTGATGTGCATTAAGCATCTTGTATGATATGTACCCTGTTAAGACGGGATAGTGATCATTTTTCTCCTCGGTAAAATCTTAATCATTATCAAAGCCTTAAAATAACGACTTTGGAGATGATTACATTTACTGTGGCAAACAGTGGGGTCATAAGCAAAGTAGTGAGCTTTGGACACTTCAAAAGTTTTTCTTGTGCCATAATCACAGTTAAGTTGGGAAATGAAATATATTTTGGAAATGTTTTCAAATTCACAAATAAAAGCGACATATCCACTGAAATTAATTTTTCCACTAATAAATAAGCTCCTACTTTTTCTACTGCAATAAATTGATTTATTGGTCTCATTTTTTACTCCTCGATAATAAAATTATATATATGGCCTATGGTGGGACAAATAATCTCCTTTGGTCAACTGTATGTTAACAGAGATGACAAGAACATAGCCTTGAAATGTGCAGAGTCATGTTTGGGCTTGATATCTTGTCATTCTGTGAGCCCCCACAAGCATAACATGCACTGGGGAGCCACTGCCCCTTCAGCTTGGGCCTCCACAGGTGATACTTTGGACAAATCCAAGTTCAACCTGTAGCTTGAAGCCAAGCCCAGCAGACCTGCACCCTGAAGCAGAGCCACCAAGTCCAGCCCATCTTACATTAGTCAGTCCTGCTTAACAATGAGAATAAATGCCTGGTGAAAGCCATTAAGTTAGAGGAAGACTTCTTACACAGCATTACTGTGGTAAGAGCTAACCAGTATTTCTATCCACACAAAGCTGCTTTTTGATAGCAAAATTAGATGGGTCACTGGTATTGTCATTGCCATCATTTGTGTCTCCGTGTTCTAACAAAATCAAGTATCAGCTCGAGGAACAATGCAAGTGCCTTGGTCATCACAGGCTGCCATAACAAAACATCAGAGACTGGATGGCTCAAACAGTAGTTAATTTCCTCACAGTTCTAGAGAATGGAAGTCTGACATGAGGAAGCCAGCATGGTCGGGTTCTGGTAAGAGCTCTCCTTCTGCACCCTTTTGCTGTACCTTTACATGGCAGACAGGGAGCAAACACGTTCTCTCGTGTCTCTTATAAAGACACTAATCCTGGGGCGCCTGGATAGCTCAGTCAGTTAAGCATCTGACTTCGGCTTAGGTCACCATCTCACGGTTGGTGGGTTTGAGTCCTGCATCAAGCTCTGTGCTGACAGCTCAGAGACTGGAACTTGTTTTGGATTCTGTATCTCTTTCTCTCTCTGACCTTCCCCCACTCACGCTCTGTCTCTCTCTCTGTCTCTCTCTCTCTCTCAAAAATAAATAAACACTAAACAAATTTAAAAAAATAAAGACACTAATCCCATCCCAAGGACCTCTTCATGACCTCATCTAAACACAGTTACCTCCCAAAAGCCTCATTTCCAAAATACCATCACATATGAATTTTTGGAGAGCAAAATATTCAGTCCATAACAACAAAGAGAGGATGACAAAATTTATTTTACCCAATAATGATTTGTTTTGTTTCATTACCTACAAGAAACGACAGTGCAACTGGTTTAACTATGTGATACCATGACAGAGATTAAGGATGGAACCAGAGAAAATATTTTATACTCCTGTTTTAATTCACCACAACTAAATTCTCCAGGATTATAAAAGGAGAGTTGTACTTCTGAGTAAAATACAATCTTCTCTCACACGGGAGCAAAGTGTGGGGTACTGTGCTAGTCTAAGCCTGGACTCTGGGGCTTCAAGGTTGCTCAGGGTCATGGCTTTGGCTTATAGCTTTGGCTGGTAGAAGGTAAGTTTTTGAGAGCATTCTTGGACAAAAGCCATTCAGATACTCTTGTTCCAATGGGACAGTCTCCAACAGTCAGAGAGGCAAAATCCGGGTGGGTATAAGGCAATAAAGCAAACACTGGGGTTCCAGGCCATTGCAAGAAGATTCCAAGTGGATGTTTAAAAGCAGAACCGGAAAGACTCCTGTTTGAGGGCCATAGAAGGACTTCTGCGAAGAGGCTTATAGATTTGCCTGTGGGTAAGAAGCTATTAAGAGTGCTGAGATGGGTTGGAAAAAAAAAAAATACATATACACATACATAGACACAATTTATATAAAAAAGTAAATAAGCAATGTGGACAGTCTTCTCTCCCTATAACACATAAGTGTCCAGGAGATAAAATACATGGAATCCTCTAGCACACACTGGAAACTAGTAATACTTCTCTTGCTAAGGTTTAAATGAACAATAATGGCTGTAATGACTTATAAGAAAATTAAATCTAAGAGCACAGCCTCTGAGCAGAAACCAGGATACAGGGGTGTATGTACACAGCTGTGCTATCAAAAGAATTAGATGTGCTCTGCCCCGATGCTTTTTCTAAGAAGAGTTCAAAAATATGTGGAGAACGCCCTACTCCTCAGCATAACCCTGAGCAGCCTGCTCTAGTCTTGGCCCCTTAATCAGTATGCTGTGAACACAACCCGAGGGTATAATAGGAGGCACGTTTCACTTCAGCACCTCTCGTCATACAGGAAGTAAACGGCTTTATGGATAAAAATAGCTCTGCATAGACTCACTATTGACACCAGCCACCCCTGGTGACTTCAGGGCTCATCAGCAATGCACAACTGTTTTAAAATAAAGCCAAGAGTCGCATATATAATTGAAACTGCAGGGATAATGAGAAGGAAACAGCAAGAGGCCACGTTGCTTTGAGGGCTAAGCTATAGATTAGAAAAAATCAGGGTCTTAGAAGCAACCCTATCGAAGGGGTGTGGGGACAGAGCTATTTTTACAGCAGTGGTAACCGAATAGCTGGTGTCACGTAACACTCCAGTAGCGAAGATAATTCACTTGACTGCAAGACAAGCACAACACAGGGTGTTAAATGGAGAACTATTTTTCAAGGTTATTCAAGTTAAAAGTTGGAGCAACTCAACATCTCTCATTTTCCAATGACAAAATGAACCTGATTTTGCACGGTGTTTAAGAAAAGTGCCTTTGCCATATTAAATGCATTAGCAGGCAATGGGTTTTACATAGCCGTAAGTGAAAATACATTTTTGATTCAGGGACATGGTGGTGCACAGAACATGAATTGTATGATGCAAAGTTAAACACATGAGCAACTCAAGCAGCCAATATTCAGGATAAAATGTTTATAATCTTTCCTTAGGAGAGTTTTTGCACTGAGCAAGTCTTTTTTCATTATCTCCAATGATAGCTTAAAATGAGCT